TGGTATTGAGTCGGTTTAGAATTACATGTTGGCTACAACATGTTTGGATTGTGTCCTGTGATGTAAGGAAGCTATTTCTAGATATTATCATCATATGTCAGGTAGTAGATGTGCATAGATATATGAGCTGAGAGAAAGAGGAAGTAGGACAGACAGACAATTACATCTTTTTATTTACTTCAGTTGAAAGCTCCTGTGCGAGCTATTCTTCCAGATACATCTAGTCTCAATCATTATAGCTTCCGAACCAGCTCAAAAGGTTCGACAAGAAACTTTGTTGGAGTAATGCCTGACTCTCGATATAGAGCCATATTTGGCGTGATACGCCATGCTGGTAACGCAGCTCGAACTGCTTATATGATTGTGCTGTCGAGCAGATCGATATGCAAATAAACCCCGGTACCCACTTTCTTGTCACGCTTAGTAGTGATCCTGGTCAGCCCTGGCCACCATGCCTCTACTCTGTATAGTGCCGTGCTTAGGACACAAGACTGTACCATTTGATCATTGGGCCCGGGTCGATCCCACGTTGGACCATGTTAATGTACTATATAAATTGGGTTATACGTTGGGCTTTCCCGCACCATTCTTAGACATGCTGCTTAAAGGAGAGTTGGAAGTCTAGCCATACTCCAAGCCATTTTACACATAGGGATGGTTGAGTGCTTTGTCCCTTGCTCTGAATGCCGAGTACTGTGGTGTCTACTCTTTTCTTTGGTCATCCTCCTATCACTAGGAGTTCCGACTTAGCTGGATCAAAGTCTATCTTGTGCTCATTAGCTAGCGAGACAATATTGTCGACTTTGTGTTGAAGTGCTTCTACTGCTTGAGCTTCAGTGCTTCCTATAGCAAATATGGCAATGTCTTCTGCATATTCAAATCGGGCTCTGCTATTGTCGTCCTGGGGCAGAATAGCGATGTACAGTAAGAAATTAAGCGGTGATAGTGGTGAGCCTTGAGAGCCCCCGCACTCCATCACTTTGTTTTGCGTCGTCCCATTTTGATGTGGGGAACGTATCCTTCGCTGAGACAGAAAAGATTCTATCCATTGGCAAAGATTAATAGGCCATCCTTTAGCAGTCGCGGGATCTCACCCGGGTTTGGCAAGAAGCACGACTTCTGCTATCCTGAAATCTGTAGAAAAATGACTGATTCCCAGGGAAGCTTGAAAAATGTCTCTTACATGTTCTCCAATTTTTTTCCAGGATGACTTAAGCAATCGGTTTGTTATTTTATTTGACCCTAGTGTCACAGGCTCATGCCTGGTTATCATCAGGCTGCTACCTAATAAATAAGGCTTGAACTCTTCCAACTTTCTTAAGCACCATATATGTCATGAACCCCTCCACGACTCATTAGACCCGAGTATAGGTCTTGGCCCAGTTCATGCAAATCTTTTCTTAAATAAAAAATTTAGATTGCAGACAGGACGACTCGAACACCAGTCGTGAGTCATCTAAGCCACATGCATCATGAACTATTTTAATAACTAAAATTACTAACATTAAAATGAAGCTGAATTAAAATAGACGGAGTGGCTGGTGTTTGTCGGAGGACAGGTCATGATCTATTTTGAGAATGATATGAGATGAGGGAACGAGGTCTAGTCTTGTAAATAAATAGGAGCCCCTCTGTCATGTCTCTGCTCGTTAATTTAAGATCTTCATTTGTTTCTAGCTCTGAGTTCAGTTTGAATAAAACGCGACTTTAAGACCGCCACACCTAAGGCCTTATCTCCGCCCCCAATGGTGCATGCCGTAACATCATCTAGTGATAGTGTATAGTTCCACGGAATTGACCCTCGTTGACCACACCCCCACCTAGGTAGGTCGTGGGCCGCGTTGAATCTGGCCATTATTGTATCTCTTAGGCCTTCTGCTCGTTCAAGTGGATCCGATATCCATCTATCCGCCGCGACTTTCAATGGAGGGGTTTCACAACACACTTTTGGTTTGGCCCAACGCATCACCTTGAAGACCTGAGCCTGCGAGGTAGCACTTTCGACTTGTTTCTTCCAGTGTTCTTTCTTGGCCGTCTTGACTGTCGCTCTAAAGCTTTTACATGCCTGTTTTGATTCTTCGGAAGACTTCCTGGAATCCTGAAACTCGCGGTATTCTAACGTGTAATCCTCCGTGCACCATGGTGCTGTATTCCCGCATGATATCGAGGGTCTCTATCCTACTGCCTTGATGGCGTCCCCAAGTGCTTCCAAAAGGCTAGATTTCTGGCGTTCGATATCAGCCACGCTACTTATAGGTCCTCGTTGGTAAAACACGAAGTAATACAAATTGGGTGCCGTCACGAAGTCGGTGAATAATGTCAATTAACTGGTATCTCGAAATACATAAAACGTTGTCTCTTTTTCTTCCTCTCCATCTCCCCCTTCTCCCTCTACTCCAAGCGCCTCGCTAATGAGCTAATTCAGATCCCTGTCAGTGTCCTAACGACAATCTGAATATGTTATGATATGAGACAAAGAGGTTGTCGAGGCTAGGGCATTGTGTGTGGCTCAAGGCCACAGCATACATCACTAGTGTACTGGTTGTCAAACATGTATATAGTTTCATAGATGTACCCACAATAAATGGATACAGGCTTAGTCTTATACTTTCTGTCCATATACCTACAGCATAGTATTGTATGAGGCTACTCACTGTCAACCACAAATTATAACATCATCTACTCCTCATCACTCCGCAATGTGACTTCCGCATAGCTCATAACTACAATAGAATACCGCAATTAGAAAGAACAATTCATACTGCCCAAACATGATCCTTTTACCGACAGTCCCTGATTGATCCACACCTTGACGTACTGCGCAAACTTATCGAGGTTTTTGTCGCTGAAAATTAGTCCTTCAGTGAGGTTGCGGTTATCAGGTATTCTTTTACACTGCACAGATCCTACAATGGTGTTGTAATCCGAGGTGCAATTGTAGTCGCGTGAAACTGTCGCCGTGGCCGACGTATTACTCTATACCAAGTCAAGCACATTCCCGTCCTGATGTGTTGGTACCCCTGCTATGGTGACCAAATACATGTTCTGAGTCAAGGCCCATTTCATGATCTGATCACCGTTGCCATACTAACGTGGAGCCTGTGGTTGCCATTGTCTTGACACCGCGTTGAAGTCCCCCCAGACAACTGTAGGACCAAGAGATCTCCACTGAAGTATGTTATGCTCAGCTATGTAGTATGGTAGATCTAGTAACTGGTGCATAGGTAGTTATTATGACAGCATGGCATTATGGCACATAAAGGAGATCCAGTCTCTACATAACGACATTACAAGTAGTAATGTGTGCAGTACGAGGGATGGGTTGTTGATATAAAACATGTGGCATGGCTGCTTATTTGGGAGCACACTTTGGTGAGCTGCATACTGGTAACGTGATCAGTCTACAAGCGAACAAGCTAGGGGATAGGGGACGAGCTTCCCCCAATCTGTAACATGACAATTAACATAGTCATTTCACCTCTGCACATTAATGAAGACATCTCTCCACAAACTATCTTAGCTGTTGCAGCGCAACTGTACATTCCTAAATCATATACCAATCATAATAACGAGCCGGGGTCGGTATCACACCCATCTTTAGGGCCGCGATTTTTATCACCTTCGTTGCCGTGACTGGAATTAGCCCTTCCAGTGCGTACACTCTGTCTGGTATATTCAGTGTCAGTCCTGAGATGCATTTGGATTTCCGTACCGTCCAAGATTACGCAACCCTAGAGGAGCGCGCTTCATGCTCCTCGTCTTCCGCTTGGATCGCGATCCCTGAGTTCACGACGGTGATCCACTTGATAGCCAATTCTGCTCAGCGTAACCTAATCATCAGGCTAATCTCAATTAAATGAGGTGATGTGGGTCTCCTAGGCGGTTCGGCTTGAGCCGTAAGAACACCCGCTCGTCGGGTCGTGCAGTCTTCGAAACTTAGGCTACTGAGCTCAACGAGGGAATGGTCCCCATTTCTTTCGACTGCAGGAGCTACTAGTTTTATCTTTTTTCGAACCGCTTGGGTCCAGGATCTCTCAGTGGAATTGGAGGTGCGGGAACGAAATCCCTGGTTTACTCACGGGATTAGGGTGAAGGCGAGCCTAATGTTTTTCCGAGGAAGAATTAGCGCTGATGGTAAGGTGCTCACTTGAGGAATTGGACCCAGCACTGTGATGTGCGCGGGTGGAGGATTCATGGTGTCGCCACTCTGTTATAATCTACACAGATCTGGGATCTCTTGGCAGATTATAACACATCCATATCCTGACATATCCTGGCTCCATAGGGTTTTGGTAATTTCTCCCTGAAAGTCCAATCCGTGGAGTTCAACGACGCGAGGCTTTTCGTCAGTGACTGGATCCTGCAGGCTGTATTTACTGCCAAGGACTACCTCTGCTCCTACAAAGCGCATCTGGAATGTCCTCGCCTTTCCGACGAGTAAGTTGCTTAAAATCCACGCCTATTGGGCTTGGGCTCTGATTTATTGAGCGGTGTTGGCTCGCGTCGTAGATTCAGTCTGTGTGGTACTGTGAGGACCATTTCAACGTCTTGTCGCGTCAAAGAGTGGGGCGGCATGGGTGATGATGAAAATGAGAGATTGGTTTAGTAACTAATCAGTGTGATTGTGACGGACGACTATGTTTAAATAATCTACTCATCTTAATTTCCAAAGCCCTTGAGTAAATGGAGTCGTAAAACGATACGCCATACAATGCATCATGACTCGCATAGATCCAATACCTAATAATGGGCAAACAACCGAAGTAACTTTACCTATGACCCTTCAGAGTTATTCACGTTGCGCAGTTCAGCTCATCCCTCAATCATCAAACCCCTTATATGATAGGATATATCATGCTCTGTTGAATCTCAACCAAAAAGATAAATGTGGCATCACAAAAACCACCTGAGCCGACACCCTTCTAGTGAGCTAACGATCCGTCAAGGAAAACCCACTGCGTACTAAAGGGCACGATAGGATCAGAATTGAATTCGTGAAAATGCACTGCCTCCTCGCCATTCTTTTGTTGACCGGAAATGAAGCGATACGCAACGATCGTCTAGCTATCATGAATCTCGGTCGAACTAACGAGAATTATCAAATTTATGATCCTAGAGGAAAACAACAGTTCCGAGGCGTCGAAAGCGGCAGTGACGTGATGATGGCCACGAGCCACACTGTCGGTCCCGGCACATACTTGACAGTTTATTGTTCGCCCTCACAAAGCTTTGAAGAGTTAAAGGATTATGCTACCGAGGGCGCCGAACCGCTGCAGAATCTGTCCGGGCTCGGCTTTCACCAGGACATTGCAGAAGAAGTCGATTGCCTCAATACTATCCAACAAAGATTCAAATTAGCATGGAATAGAATAGGAATTCACATTAATGAGCTCCTTAATACCAAGAGATGCAGTAAAAGTGCAATTTACAGTCTAGGCTTACGCAATGAATTTTACATTATGAGTGTGATAGGCGAAACACTCACGCTCCACAATAAAAATCAGATGGCAGTGATAACTGATAATCGTTATGATATGTCCGATGTAGTTCTGAACGGCAAACTAGCTTGCCGACTGAAATATCCGAGTTATGATAGAGGGCTGGCGTGGCATCAAGGCTATTTGAATATATTTCAAAAACAATATCCGAAGAATGTATGGTATCCAATGAAACGAACCATGCAGGGCTTAGCAGATTACGCGTACATCATTGACTTTATAGGCAATCTTTATGTTGAGATTGACTTGATCAGGGACAAAATATTGGGCGGTGGACTCGTGCCTGGTCCTCCATCAATGAGTTATCGAAGTTTTGGCAGTAGTAAGTACCCCACTTTACAACAAACTATTCAAGAGCTGCTACAAAAACTTGGCGATAAAAACTTGCGCCTTGTCGAGTCTGATGTAGAAGGATCTATTGGTCCATTTGTGGGTGGGGAAAAGAGGTGAAGAAAGAAAACTATCCTTCTTTCAAAAGAGTGCCTCAACAGTCAAAATCCGCCGTGGCTAGGGGGACGGCCTCTTTGGTTTGGGTCATCAGAGTGGCATTATGTGTCATGGATGTGATTAGAATACGGGAGAGGGGAACTCGTGTCCTTATAGCATAAGGTTAAAGCCCATTATCTACTACAGATAGGGGTTATGGGTGAAGGTTAGAAGCATGATTGTCGGACCTATATACAACATCAGTCATAGTATAGACTAGCATTGGACTTGGCATTTAAGGACAAAGACTGAATAGCTATCCACGGTATTCTCCATAAACCTAAGAATGACATGTCAAGTACGAAATCCGGCTCGCTCTTCCAATGAGATGTAGTCCCGTCATATCATATCAAGTCTGCGCGTACGACCTGTAACATTCTCATTTCAATGACCACGCCTCTCGTCTAATCAGTCTCCAGTCTCCACATTAACGCCCACAATGATATGGATAGAATAGAATAGAAATAAATTTAAGTCCCTACTGAGTCGATGACTATGAAGGACTGCTAAAAGTAGACATTAAACCACCAAAATTCACTTGTTTTTATAAATACTGAATGATATGGATACCCAGCGGAGAAAACAGGGGAACTGATGCATACCGTGGGCATAATGGCGAAAGGAATGCGATTTTAAACTTCACCCACGAGTTTTACAAATTGACGAGATTTGTGCGCGCGAGGCCTTTGATTGCGAATGCAGACGACTCCACAAACACCGCCACGGCTAGTTCGAATCCAGCAAAATACAATCACATTTCTCGCGGTGCGGGTATGTATGGATGACATAGGCAGGCTTGGATAGTCAAGGGTTTGAAACTTCCCCAAGGTGGATACTGACGGAGGAGGGTCCACTATTTGTGCAAGCAAGCTCACCTCTTTTTCTAGAAAAATTTAATATCATATTCTACTCAGCTATTCAGCTATTCAGCCACGACAATTAAACACTTCATCATCTTTAGTCTCTAGCAAGCATACCTCACAGTGTTATCTGCGACTGGAATCTAGAATGTGGGCTCTGCGGAAGTCATTCCGCAGAGGGATGTCACGGAACATGGGCCTATTCTAAAACAATAGGAACTATGTACGAGGAGATGTGTGCCATTCTACTATATTCTAACCTAATCTGTTCCGTCCTAACCTATCTTACTCTATTCCATTCCATTCTAATCTGTTCTGTTCTGTTCTGTACTTGTCTAGACTATTCTATTCTGTATGAGAGTATACTGGAAAGTTCGAGAACAATAGAGAGGAATATATAATGGGTAATTGGGATACCCATGGTTCGGCAGATTATGGTCTTGTATTCTTAGGAACTCTTTAGACATTATTGAATCTTATCTCATGTCGAACTCTTGGACCCTTAAGCCCTCGGAATACAAACTCCTCTTGTACTCTTGACCAGGGGTGAGAAGTGGATAATAATACATGCCGTGGGTGACTGTGAATAGACTCACGCCATACTATGCCATAGGTGTAGGCGTAGGCGTAGGAACTGAAATTGTGGGAATAGACGGGCGTCTCTTTATCGTGGGTACACCTATGAGTATAAATATATGCACGCCCAACCGACACACTAGTGATATAAGCTGTGGTCTTGGGCCACACGCGATTCCTAGCGCCGACAACGTCGTCGTCTCATATCATAACGAGTAATCCAACATATACGCAAAGTACTGATGTATTTAATAGCTATGTAGCTGCATACGCTCCAATGGTATGGGAAAAGTGCCCGGCACCTCACCTGAATCCCCAAAGTCATGCACCGAGAGGCCAATTTCGGCGTGAGCGCCTTGACTTGGGCCAGCTGCTGCCGTACTGTTGGAAAATTGATATGGGCTCGATGAGTGGGGCGGCTCAAAGAATACAGGCGCGATTTACAAATCGAATAAAATCGATATGAATAGAGAGGATATGTGGTAACCTGTCAAAATAGAAATTCTTGATGGAATGAATTGATTATCTATCTTGGTGATTCCTAGACAGCTTAGATACATGTATTCCCAGGAGACCAAATCCAAATTAGATACCATCTACCGCTCGTTCTATTCTCTAGCAATGACGAGGAATCGCACGACAGTATACAACGTGCGTATGGGATGGGTGGATGAACGTCTACCTCACGGGTATCAAACCATACCATGCACTAGTTGGGTCGCAAGGCATCAAACATGCTCAATGAAGGAGATGTCAATCATCTTGGTCGTGAACCATGTGTGGGAGTCTTAGTTCATATAGTCATAGGGAAACTATAGATACACAGAGTCTGAATTTCTAAAACCTACTGGCCGCACGACTCCATCCACCGCAGCAGACGTGTGTGTCCTGTTTCTATGGGGTCCATGCTACTATCCGTAACCGTAGTCAAAAATCCTCGAAAATGGCGTGTGCCGCCAGACCCATTGGTGATCTCTCCCCCTTCTCATTCCATGCGTCAATTCCCCATCCTCTCGCCATCTCTGCAGCTCCATAAACTGTTACGGGCTTGCCTGCTGTCACGGTGGGTCACGGGCCAGGTTCTGGTGGATTAATGATATAACTGCGTTGTGCGATAGTAAGGGAGGACCAACTACAGGAGGGATTTATACTAATATCCTAGTGTACGCCGCTAGCTCTTAGTCCCGTGACGCCTGCTGCCAGCTTGTCTAGGCTGACCTGAGTTTGCAGTCCATTGCACAGAAGATATTTTGAGAGTTCACATGTAGAGTGATGTTTATGGCACAATCCAGTCGTATTCTTCGCTCCCATGCAAGAATGTTTATATTTTATCGTGTTGCCTGCGTGATTTGACCGTCGGCATGAGCCAATTATTGTAATCAATACTGCTGCAGAGAAAAGTGGACGACGATTACCAGAGCTTGATGGTAGGAATAGCTTAACAGTAATCTACATACATGTCATGGTGGTAGATACGACTTGTAGACATTTGCCACCCCATCATGTTCTACAACCACAGTTCTATGTCGCCCTACTCACGACTACCTCATGTCATTGTGTTGAGCGTGCCGGTGGCTATGCCCTACTCGCATAGATGTCCCGTGTCCATGGCTATGGGCAGATATTTATTTATAGTAACTGCCATAATCACATCACGAGATCAACGCGTGTGCATAGCGCCGTAGTCTAGTAGAGGCGATATCCGGTGGTTGGTGAGGCGAGCTCCCGTTTGCAACTGGTGCGGCGACTCGATCAGCGGCCGAGGCGAAATGACTTGGGGTAAGATTGAGTCGGAGGGCTGGTGTGAGGATGAGAGGACCAACACTTTTGCGAAGTCTTCAAGTTTGGCTGTGTTTGAGTTTGCCATCGACTTTGTCTCGGATGCCACACTTCTCGACTGTCCCGAGTGTGCCGAGAATAGTGAGCGTCTACACCGGCTCCACTGGAAGGCACAGGGCTCTTTTTTCATTCATAACGTATTCATTCATCGAGCCATGACACCATTTGATATTTAATTCCCATCCCAACCTCCAAACGTTTTAGTCAATTTCCCAATTAAAGATCCTAGTTTGAAGCCCTCAGGGTGGGAGGATCGTCTTTACCGGCAATCAATGCTGTTGGGAGCGAAGGATCAAAGTAGTGCTGAGCTTTGAATCATTTGCTTCGATTGGTAGGCGTCGACTAGACACTCTTGCTCCAAACAAATATCGTATACAGTCATGCGACTTGTTAGTGCTCATGGAGTTGAGCTCTGAACCTAGCGGCTCACACTTAATTTTGGTTAGCTCCACTACTAAAATTCGCTTAAGCCGCCTAGGCATGACCAGTTTAGTCTAGCTACAATACCTTAATAATATTTTCCATTTGCAGGCTAGATGGTGCAGTGGTCCACCGTCCGGGCCCTTGTCCCCACTAAATTCTGGACAGCTTGAACACCTACCCCCTTTGAGACGGGAGAAAGCTGGTTCCATCCTAGTATGGCCCACACACCATACTCTCACGCCGTGATGTTGTCTCTGTGGGGTGACAATGGCACGCTCGGATACCCATGGGTGTTAACGGAAGAGGTCACATGAGCATAAGGGCTAAGCTGGAGTGGTATCTGCGAATGCAATGCAAGTGTTCCAAACTTCAAAATGAGTCATTCTACATGAACCGCATATCTTTCGAAAATGCCTGCACAGGCCCAAAGGCGCCAAATCGGGCTTATTGGATAATTCATTCCAACGCGCGTGTGGCGAACATAGGCTCGAGCCAGCCGAGTGTGTGGGCAAGGACTTTTAAGACTATCTAAATAGCTTTGAAAATTTGATAGTGATTTTGAATGCCGACATGTTTGATATTTCCCCATCGACACTGAGGTTCTAGCTCGGCACATGGCAAATTTATGGCTAGAGAGGGATGTTTATTTTCACCTCCAGCTCCCGTCGTCGACCTGTTCCATTCAAGCTGACTTGCTATGGTCCGTAGTGAGGCTATCATCTTACCCATGCCCGACTAGCCGGCCCTGGGAATGCTCATTAAACAGCCGCTAGCCGCTTGACTCATGAGGTTCCGAGCGCGCGTTGTATAATTAGTATACAATAGGTGTGGGTGTAAGATTGGGGTGATATCACGTGGTGTCTCGTGGCTCCTAACTACAACGGATCTTGTGTAGAGCTTGAGACTAATACGTGAATTCTATATCCTTCAAGTGTCGGATGTCTATGTGTCTATATACATTGATTACTCCTTACCCCTCAACGCTAGTAGATCTACTGCTGTGGTCGCGGGCTCTGACTGTGCGATTTGCTGTGCGTGAGATCATAGGATAATTACGATTACGTGTGTGTGCCGTGTTTCCTACATCTAGCTAATTCGTGCCCGGTAGATCTATCCGGGATCCACACTCATACAACGTTTGCGGCGCCAGCGCCCGACACCCTTAAATTGGCGCGCGGCGAGTGATTCTGGCGCCATGGTTTGAGGCGACGGCCGGTATGGCGCTTTGACTTGCCCTCGAAGAAAGCTGAGTGGAGAGGCTTCTCG